TTCAGTCTGAGTTAAATCTCTTTTTTGGCTCATTTTATCTGTAAACCAAATCTGCTTAATGCACACCTGAATATAAGACATTTTTCACTTCCAGCCTTCATGAATAATTATATATAAATTATAAATGATTAAATACAAGATTAATAGTACTTATTCATATTGATGTCGTTTGGAATTGGTAAAATGTGCTTGGAAAAAATATGATCAAAATGTGCTTGGAAAAAAATATGATCAGAATATCAACTTGAATAATAATTGTGCATGCTCTGTATTTTTCCTCTTCTGCTGCCGAGGTAATGCAAGAAATGTTGTGAATGGTTGTCAAGGCAGCCAATCAGAATTTAGCAGCCTTGTCTCTGATTGGCTGGAATTATGGCATATTGTAATGCTGGGTTGTGTTGAGCACGTGAGCTGTTGGCATTTAGAGAGCACTGAGGGCTGGCATCAGGTGAGCAAGCTTGTGAAACGTTGCACGCGCAAAAGTGAAGGTCTGCACACATCCAAAAACGTATTTTAAATGCAAAATTGATTTTCGTGCGCTCTAAATACTTTCTTCTTTGCGAGATAAACATTTGACCGTTTCATTTGAGTAAAACTGTCCTCATATCATATACACACAGAAATATAAAGCTATTCACGGCAACCCGTCAAAATAAAAGTTCAGTTTAACCTGAAGACATTGCAGCAGAAATATATTACTATTGTTCAGTAGAATGTACGTAATAGGCTACTACTACTACTAAAATTATTAAAACCTTATTTTTAAGGAATACTCATACAATATTCCTTCAATGTTTTAATTGTAATATTAAATCCCCTTTATTTTCCAAAAAATAAGATTTGTTTAATTTTCATTAATTAAAAGATAAATTAAATGAATGTTTTATGCCTTAAAAATGTAAATACACAACACAGAATTTCTGAGGGAAAAAAATCATAAGGCTATTGTAAGAATAAATTAAACTTGTTTTTATGTTTCAAATAATTAGACATGCTAAAACACAGAATTTGGTAGCAATAAAACATAAGGTTGGAAAAAATAAAACATTTTTGGGTCCCAAACATGTAATTTTTGTTAAACTTTTAATAAATTGATGTTAAACTGTTTAAGTTTCATGATTTTAATTAATTAGAAATGCTTTTTTATTAATAAAATTTAATTTAACCATTAAAAAGGAGTCCAGGAAAATAAAAATGGAAAAAAACAGATTTTACTAAACCTCAAATTATCAGATTGTTTTTATGTATTATTTATAAACAATTATAGAACATTATAAAATATAATGACTTTTAATTTATGTGAACAAATTAAACAATATTCACATGGACCCATTATAATAAGTGTCACAAGAACATTTAGCTGTGCCTTTTATTTAGTGTTTACTGATGTTTCCGTAAACTTCTAATTACTTCAAATTTTATGTGTGCAGGTAAATTATGTACAGGATGTACAGTATTTATTTAATTATTTATTTATTTTTACCAACAAAATAAACGAATTATTTGGTATCAATATTTTTATTTGAAGATTGATCCTCCAACATCAGTATAACAAGAATTTATACTTATCTTCTTACACATTTGTGTCTTAGCTAATGAGACTAGCATGTTACTGTCAGGGTCAAAAACCGGTAGCCTGTTGGAGCTTGCAGCTTAAAAGCATGCTACATATGGGACTTGTACGTTGTGCCCATTGGCCTCCAGAGATGTAGATGTAATTTTGTTAAAGTCACCATGAAATCAAAATGAACAATTCTTATTTTTTTATGGAATGCTGCAGTATTTATAATAAATGATTTATCGGTACACATTTTCTGTTATTTATTGTTGTTTTATTATTGTCTTTTTATTTAATTTATTTGTAATCTTTAATCAAAAACATGTACCCTTGAATGTATGTCACATGAAAATGCAAACTTCATAATTGTACAGGAATGTTTAGAATGGAGACATGACTCCACTGAATAACATTGTTTATTGTGCTTTAACTAGGTGAAGCCTGTCCTGTTTACGGTCCATGCGGTTGTCACCAACTCTGACCTGCGGTTCGACCACACTGAGGTGGACTTTGGACACTGCTCCATTTATGAGTCTGCTCAGATTGCAGTGCGTTTCACGAACTGTTCCTTATTACCTCAGGAGTTTGGCTTTGTGGGTAATCCTAAGGTGAGCACAATATTGAGTGCACACACTTCACAAAACTCCACGCTAAACAAATGCCATGTAAGCCATCACCTTATTCTGCATAATCATCACACATTAAACTGCAATGGCGCTATATATAAATATGTATACACTACCAGTCAAAAGTTTTTGAAGAGTAAGATTTCTAATGTTTTTTTTAAAGAATTCTCTTCGTCTCACCAAGCCTGCATTTATTTGATCCAAAATACAGCAAAAGCAGTAATATTGTGAAATATTTTTACTATTTAAAATGTTTTCTATTTGAATATATTTTAAAGTCTAATTTATTTCTGTGATCAAAGCTGAATTTTCAGCTTCATTACTCCAGTCTTCCGTGTCACATGATCCTTCAGAAATCATTCTAATATGCTGATTTGCTGTTCAAGAAACATGTATTATTATTATTATCAATATTTAAAACAGTTGAGTTAATTTCTTTTCAGGATTCTTTGAAAGATCCAAAGTTCAGCATTTATCTGAAATAAAAAGCTTTTGTAAAATTATACACTTTACCAGTGGTTCTCAAAGTGTGGGGCGCACGAGTATTGCAGGGGGGGCATGGGCCATTAGTAGAAAAAGAAAAGGGGGAAAAAAAGGTAAAAACAGCCAAAGGACGTAACTTAGAATGGGAGATGGATCTGTTTGTGAGAGGGAAGAGAAAAGCCATAGATGAAGTCACACAGACCCAGGCAGGTGCTGGTCATTCAAAAGCTAAATGCAGAAAATATGACGGACATATCTTGTGCTCGGCTTCACTCACCGTGTCTATACCGGACGCGCCGCAACAGCTCTACACTGGACGCGACAAAGCTACCATTGCAAATCATTTCAACTTTGTGTCAGTATGTCATAAATAGAACAAGGCATCAGTTTAATGTTGGGGTTTTGTCGTGTCCTGTCACGCCGCATCCAGTGTACACAGGTTAATGGGTTCTCAGATTTTTGTATAGGTTTAAAGGGGGGCGCGACCAAAAAAGTTTGAGAACCACTGCACTATACTATTCAAAAACTTGGAGTCAGTATATATATATATTCAATGTATGTATGTATGTATGTATATATATATATATATATATATATATATATACACAAGATACATACATACATACATACGTGTGTGTGTGTGTGTACTGTATGTATGTATATGTAAGTATTTTGCCCAAATGAATCAAAGTGAGGACAAAGCACAGTAAGGCAAAGCACAGTAAATACACATCAGAAGGAATCAGAGTTTTGAGGAAAAAACTGGTGTCTGTGATCTGTCCTGTGACAGGAGGGTTTGGCTCAACTGTGCTCAGATTTAGAGAACATCTGAAGAATTTATAAAGATCAAATCTCAATCAAAAGAAAAAACTTGTGAAAATTAAAATTTGATTATGAGATTCAGAGGCCTTGAAGATATATAAATGCATGTACAAATATGTATATTTCTTTCTCTTCAGTTTATTGACATCCAGCCTAATGATGGTTTTGGCACTTTGCTGCCTTCACAATGCATGGAGATTTACTTGATCTTCAGTCCGTCAAAGGCAGGGGAATACAAGTTCACACTCACATGCAAAACAAGCATTAACAGGTAAGAAAAAGCAGTTTACATGAAGGTCTGCCACGCAGTGACATTTTTCAGATATTGAACAATGCAAAATATCTCTAAAAACCACAAAACTTACAAACTTACAGTGTATGATATATCATTCAGTGAAATGAGAGCATAGAGTACAGGATTTCGACAAAATAATGCAGAGCAGTTTACCCTAAAAAGCGATCTAGTTTTTTTTTTGTTTGTTTGTTTTATTTTATTTATGCATTTATTTTTAAGGAAGAAATTCTATTAGAGACTCATTAGAGGTGTAATGTGTTGTGTATCATAGAGTGATCACAAGCTGAAACCAACTCAGAGAAAGATGGGGAAAAGCGCATCACAGGTTTCATCTCTGGTTTGCTCAGGGCCGTTTCTAACTATTTTGACGCCTTAAGGCCATTTCACACTGAGTCGACGAACGGTGCTTTCACACCGAGCGCGAAACGATTGTTCGCCTTCTGCTAATTAACGCTGCACGCTAGGTGGCGCCGACCAACAGTGCATTCCTCAGACATGTATCTCAATATACAGCATTAAATTAAGATAAATAAAGTTTGGTTCTACACCAGAAACACAAACTATCTATAATGCTTAGAAGAATACATCCTAAAACATAATTAGAAGTAGAGATCTAGAGAGTGAACGCGCTTAGACTCATATAACACTCGAGCACGTGGAAGAAAATGGACAGTGCTGTCCAGATCACATGATTCATTGGAGAATTAATAGAAATTATATTAAGAACCTGTGAGAATAAATCTGTCCTCAGATACCAACAAGAACTCAGCACCCACTCTCTTCTCTCTTGCGGGATACTCTTCTTCGGTGTTTGTTTGTTTACACTGGTTTTCGAAACAGTGCCACCACTAGCCTTTTTGTGCAACAGCAGCTGCTCCAGGCACGTGATCTTAGCTCAAATCTCATTGGACGGCCCGTTGCATCGCGGAGTGGCGGGGAAAAAATCGACGCACAGGACGAAAAAAAAATAAAATCCTTGCTTTTCGCCGCGAATGATCGCACCTAATGTGAATAGCCCCATAGGGATGTATTGTTTCGATTTAAAAGTGTCATCGCGCCGAATTTCACGTTCAGTGTGAAAAGGCCTTTAGGCGAAATCCCTATTGGCGCCCCCACCCCAAGGTAATAATCTTAAATTATCTTTTTGGGATGCGGATCCCACTCCCAAACAAGATAAATTAAGATTACATACAAAATAACATGAAACTGATTATGTAAACACTTAAATCTTAAATAGCAACATTGATACATTTCCAAATTATATATATATATATATAATTTCTTTTCAGACACCAGTTTATTGTCACATTCAAATTGGTTGTCGACACTAATTTGTGGAGATTCAGCACATTGTGAGTTCCACACTGAATGCATTATTTGTAAATTGACTGTTAAAGGTACAATATGTAAGATTTTTTATTAAATTATCAAAAAATCACTAGAACAGTGTTATATATTTTGCTGACTTGTGTACTTGCATTATCCCAAATGTTTCGAAGAATGTTTAAATCCAGAGAAATAGCAATTTTAAATAGTGGTTCGTCCCTGGTCATTGCGTCGCCTGCCAGTGACGTCATACACTCTCGATTTTCGGTTTTGTTTTGTAGAAAACAGAAACACCAAATGATATGCATTTTATTAGACAGGTGACGACCGCACAGAGTAACATTGTAACAGAACTTTCAAATGTATCAAGTATGCTAAAACAGCACTGTTTTACCCCGGAAGGAGCAGAAGCGGTCGACTGTGGCATAATAAAAGCTCCGCTGCTTTCGAGCCGTGTGTCATGCTCGTTCAGTGGCCTCGTTTCGCTTCGACGGCTTTCTGCCTCACTCTGCTTCATACTACGATGTTAATAAATCTTTAATACATTAGCTCATCCATAAACATGATTTCTGCCCGAGTCCCATGGGATTGCATTGGCTGTGGAGATGAAGACAACAACTCCCATGATTCCACACTCAGTCACTGCGTCATCAAACTACGCCTTTGTTTCTTTGTTTGTTTTGAATACACGCCCTCTAGCGGCGAAAACTTACATATTGTACCTTTAAGATAAAACATTTGCACAATTTATTGTCTGTAATACCATTGTGTAGCCACTAGATGCCTGTCTAGCCCTATGTAGCAATCCCTGGTTGCTAAGAAATTGTCATCACACATAAATTAATTTTATTACATTTGGATTTGGATACATGTTTAGATATTATCAATGGCTACTTTTTGTCTTTATCTGTTTTTTGTTCAATTGTTTTGTTGTTTGAAACATTGATTTAAAGTGTCAGTTATTGCATTATTATTTCAGTCAAACCTATAAAACCCTTTGCTACCCCACACTAAATATAAAAGCCTGATCAGTGGCATAAAAGTAATCAGAATGTTTATTCCTTTGTTACTCATTGATGCATGAACTTCCCCTTTAAATAAGGCGACGCTCTGCCCCTATGTGCATGACACTGCTCCTATTAAGCACTGTTAGAAGTGAATGAATTGATTCAGCATTTTGACACTTCCGTAAGGATGTGTTAAATTCAAAGACTATAGAATACTTTGTTAAATTCAACAAAGCAGTTTAATAAAGGATGTCTTGATCTCGTGAATTAGCTAATTTTACTATACCATTATTTTTTAAGTGGCTGTTAAAAGTTTTATATGGGAATATTACACAACACACTGATCCTTTAACAATGCATTGGCACAAAAACGCACACCTCTTGGACCAATTTCGCAACATGATTTCTCGACTGCCACAAATACTGCCTAAACAAAATACAGATTTTGTGCACTTTTTACTGTACCAATATTTTAATATTAGCTTACCTAGCTTGCCTATGCCTAGAAACTGTACTGGGTTTGCTGAAAAGGCTCTGCATAGGTTGAACAGTCGTCCCTGTTTTGGTGGCCTATCTCTGGCTGTGGCTGTCCCCAAAAACGTGGCTGTCCCTGTTTTTAATATATGTAACAGCCCCGCAAATAATACATGTATATGGCAAGCAAGAGCATCACTAGACCCTTTTTACTGGGGTACAACCCCAGTGAATTACCGCTGTGCCCCAGTAAAATATTGGCTGATAGTGAAGATTACCACATACCGAACTGAGAGTCATTTTCCCTAATGTCTTTCTGCATCATATTATCAATCTTCTTTCCTTAAATGAAGTTTACCCAAAAAATAAATGATTCACCATTTTATTCATTATTTACTAGGCCTGGTGTTGTTCTAATGCCATATGACCTTTTTCAGACAACAAAAGGAGAAATAAAAATAAAAAAAATTAAATGTTCTGCGTATTTTTTTTTAAAATTTTTTTTGACAATGAATCAGTTTGGAACTTTAAAAAAAGGATACAAAATTATGCAGAGTGGTATGACAGAGTATTATGTACTATAGTTCACACATAAAACAAAAATTGTCTTCATTTTAGAAATCTGGTCTCCTTAATTCTCTGTGAGCAAGTCAACTGCCTCTACACTGCTGATTTTTTTTTATTTTATTTTTTTTACAAAATGTAGATAGCTATATTGCCCATAACTATTTATATGAAGTTGGATAAGATTACAAGAAATATACATTAATATGATGATTTTCAGTAAAGCTGCTTTGAAACAATGCATTATGTATGTATTACGAAAAGCGCTATTAAAATATATTTGACTGGACAAGTCTAAAAAATATATATATTCATGCATTTTATAGCAAGACTGGAGATCATTTGCAGACGTCAAAAATAATTACTCCCTGTTTCCTAACAGGTTAATGTTTGAAAAACAGGTTAATGTTTGAAAAAAAAAAGCCCTGGTCACTAGACCTAGATTTAAACATCATGATACCTTCATGGAACATTTGTGTGTGTGTTTGTGACATAGATAAGAATACTTAAAGATAAGAACACATGTCTTTAACTCTGATGGCCCCATCTAGTGGCCAACAGTCCAAACTAAACTAGAGTTCTGGGGCTGTATTCACAAAACGTTTTTCTTACCACTAAGAGTTCTCCTAAATAGCAGTAAATGTTCTAAGGCAACAGTTTCCTCTTAAAACCTATTCACAAAGCTGCTGAGACCAACTTTTACTAAGGAAACTAAGAGAAAGACAGGGGTTTATCTCTTTGCTATGGATGATGTCAACAAGCTTACTCACTATAGCCACGGTGATTGCCTGATAGGGGATGGGTCTCTGTCAGTGATTTATTCATAGAAATATTGTAAAGCACGATATTATGTTGCTATATTCAAATAAGGGTTTAAAAATAAAAATGTTAATTGCCACATTCAAATAAAGAGCAACTCTTCTGCACAGTGGTAACCTCAAAACTTGTTCTCCAAACCTCTTTAAAATCTCCAAAATTACTCACCATTACATGTATAACAACTCTAACATGTAATTTTCTTTAATTAAAAATGTTGTTGTTGCTCATTTTAACCAACTAATCTGAACAAGCTTTAAAAATCTGACTGCATTTTTTTTTTTTTTTTGAGTGGCACCTCTCTCAACTATTCTCTACCAGACTCTAAAAATAATATGTTAGTTAAAAAAAAAAAATAATAATAATAATCAAAATGCAACAGATTATTATTTTTTAATTATGACAACTTAAAATGAAATTATTTTCAGTCAACAAACTATACTTAATTAGAGGAACTTAATAATCTATAACATGAACAAAAGTTGCTCCAACTACTTGAACTGTGGCTCTGGAACCAATTAATCTCATCTATTTTAGTCAAGTCAAGGCACCTTTATTTATATAGCGCTTTTAACCATACAGATTGTGTCAAAGCAGCTTTACAGTATCAAAATAGGAAAATAGTGTGTCAATGCAAAAGGACAATAGTAAACACTCAATTTTCAGTTAAAGACAGTTCATCATTGAATTCAGTGATGTCATCATCCAGCTCAGTTCAGTTTAAATAGTATCTTTGCAATCAAGTCGACGATATCGCTGGAAATTAAGTGTTCCCAACTAAGCAAGGAA